AAGGAGTTCCGTAGTTTCCAAAAGGGGTTTTTCATGTGGGCTGGGGATTCTCTGCCGACTGTCCCATGGAATTTTGTCTTTTCCTTTGTTTTCACTAATGAGACAAATACCTTAGTGAGGTGAGTGCATGGCTATTCTCAGCCTCCTCCGAAAAGGGAAGCGGGGTGGGGGGGATAAGATTGACAACTGGGCCAGCATTGGGATCCACTCAGCTGCCCACCTGGGAGAGGGAAGAGAGGCTGCCAGGTCTCCTATGCTTCTCCTTGGAGGAGGGTCTATTTTCAGAGGGCACCTTGCCAGAGCACCCTTATCCTTAGGCAATGGGAGAAATTTCCCAGGGGTGGCTGCTTGATGGCTTCCCTTGCTGGGAAAAGCTGCCTTGTAGGACAGAACCCGGCCCTCCACCCGCTTCTAACAATGGCTTCCTTGTTAGATGTCACCAATAATCCCCAGTTGCGTCACCCTAGTTGCTGCAGAGAGATTTCCCCCCCAGGCCAACCCCAGCGGCTCTCGCTAGCCCCCTCTCAGGATGGCCGACCCCATGAGCTTGTGGCCCTTTGGGTGAGGAGCTCTTCTTGAGCTCAGCCTCTTCCAGCTGGCAGATTTTGCCTCTCAGAGATGCTCCTTGCCGGGAGACGGAGAAGCAGAAACCCGCTGGTAAGTCACTCTCTTGGCACATACAAAGACCGTCTGTGTACAGAAGGTAGACGGACTAGGAGGGGCCGGCATCAGGTGATTCCTTAGGCCCAGGACGGCTGGGCCCAGGAGGAAGTGGCTGCCCCTTGGCACGGCTGCCTGTCAAAATATTTGCTAAGGAAGTGCCGAAGCTTGACTCAGAATTAACTACACACCCGAGAAGTTGTGCTCTTAAGTTGCTCCAAACAGAGGAAGCTGTTGAGCGAGGAAGCTCGGCCGCAGACCCTCGCCGGTTCCTGAGCCTCCCATTGCACGAAGCGGTGGAGCTGAGGAACAAATGTGGATCCTCTTCCAGGGTGGGCCTGAGAGACCCATGGCTTCCGGCACCTGGGCCTGGGCTTTGCTTTTGCCGGCCACCCATCATCGCAGCTGCCCTGGTGGCCGAAGGCAAAGAGCCTTCACGGTCCTCGCCCTCTTCCTCTTCTTGCCACGCTTCCCTGCTTCCAGCTGTCCAGATGTTTGCAACTGCTCCTCGGGGAAGATAAACTGTGTGGACCGTAGGCTGCGTTTCGTGCCTCTCCAGTTGCCCACAAATGCCACCGCCCTCCTGCTGGACTACAACCGCATCGCCACCCTCAGGAACGGCACCTTTGCGGCCCAGAGAGTCTTGCGCCAGTTGTGCCTCGGCAACAATGTCCTGGCCAGCATTCACCGCCTGGCCCTGGTAGGCCTCCAGGAGCTGCAGGAGCTGGACCTCAGCGACAACTCCCTCAGCCTCCTGCACCCAGAGACTTTCCTCCCCGTGCCGACCCTGCAGACGCTGAAACTGGAGAACAACAGGCTCCTGAGGCTGGATGCAGAACTCCCCCGGGCCCTCCCTCACCTCAAGGCCCTCTTCGTCCACGGCAACGCCTTGACCTCCCTCTCGGCTGGCTTCTTTGAAAGCCTGCCTGCCTTGTCCTACCTGACCCTGGAGGACAACCCCTGGACCTGCTCCTGTGCCCTCTGGCCCCTCTTCCTGTGGCTGGGGAAGAACAGGGAGAAAGTTCCAGGTAAGCAGCTGGTTCGCACAGCAGGGTAGAGCATCCGCCTTCACTGTTCAGCTGAGCACATCAGAGGTGGTGGAGGAGACGTGGCCGTGTCCCGCTGCCCCTTGGCTGATATTTTCCATGCCAGGGCATTTGGGCTGTTACCCCAGAGGTTGCTCTGGTCGGCTCTGCCGCCGGCCCTTCGTGGTGAAGTTGGCTTGAGTGGGTCCTCCCCTCCCCTTCCTGGCTTCTTACAGCATCTGCCCTCGTTTAGTGGGCGACATTAAGCAGCCTTCCCTGTGTCCCCCTTTCGCTTGCCACCTGCCCCACAGAACTTGAGGAAGGTAGTCAACCATGGGAAGCTGTGGACTTATATAGACTTATATGCCGCTTCATAGGGCTTTCAGCCCTCTCTAAGCAGTTTACAGAGTCAGCATATTGCCCCCAAGGATCCGGGTCTTCATTTTACCCACCTCGGAAGGATGGAAGGCTGAGTCAACCTGAGATTTGAACAGCCGAACTGCTGAACTGCAGTCAGCTGAAGTAGCCTGCAGTGCTGCACTCTAACCACTGCGCCACCTCGGCTCGGACTTGTTGCTCTGGGGTTCCCCCCCCCCCACAGTAACCAGGATTAAGACAGCGTGCTCCACATTTTTGCAAACAGTAGAAAAATTAAAAGAAGTTGGGAAATAGAAGAATAGTCAGTTACTTCCCAGTTCTCGGCATTACGACTCACCACTTCGGGGTCTCTCGGCTGAGCAGGACATAAAGGGATTTCGGCTGATTTGGAAGGGCATTTGCAAAAGAAACAGCTGTTACTTGGAACCCATTTTAATTTCTGAAAAAAGCAGAGTTGATATCTGTTAGTGTGCCTTTTCGAAGAATCGCAATAATTTCAACCAAGTTCAGGTCTGTTTTGAACCCAGGGTGGAGGAATCCCCCGTGACCACGACTGGCTCTCTGCTGCTTCTTTCTTCCAGAGGCGAATTCAGTGACCTGCAAACGCCGAGCGTCCCTCGTGCAGTATCCCATCTCGGCCCTTGGAAACGAATCCTTTGCACGCTGCCAGACGCCCCGGATGAATCTCCCCAGCTACGCCTTCTTCCTCCTGATCGGCCCATCGACTTTCCTGGCCAGCATTTGTGTCGGCATCCTACTGGGCTCGCTGGCAGTGGCCCACCTGAAACTGACGAGGACGGGCTCGTGTGCTTGGCCACGGGCAGGCACTCGCCTGCGGTAAGCGGGTTTCGCTCCCAAACCATCATCCTTCGGCACTCTCTCCCCTGTCTCTGCCAGCGGAAGTGCAGCATTGTAGCTCTAGAAAACCCTTCTGTGTCAAATGCTTTGTGCATAAAACCCCAATTCCTCCCTCGGCCAGTGGGTGGATCCTTGATTTGAGCTTGTACCTACCTGTCCTTACGCAGGACCTTGGGGTAAGAGTGGTCCGTATTTGCAAAAGAGTTGGGGCCTGCGCCTCTTTTCCCACCGAGGTGGGCCTGAGGACCAGGCAGAGAGGCTGGAGCGCCCTTCCTATCGGACTCCTTTGTGTTCCCTGAAAAGAACGCCGCCCTCCTCCCATTTCTTGGAGCAAAGGAGCCCCTTCTGTTCCCCGCTTGGTGGCTTCCCAGGTCTTCCTCAGAAAGGGAGGTAAGATAAAACGGAGGCTGCCAATGCAAGGATGACTGTGGCATCTCAGTGCCCCTGGGCTCTGCGTTTGTCAGCTTCCCAAGGCTGGCACAGCCAGAGGTCCCTGTTGCTCCCGATTTAGTGAGTGGCAGCCAGGAGGCAGGTGAGACGCAGCCTGTGCTGAGGACAGGGCCTGCGTTCAGCTTACGGCCCCTTTGAGAAATGCTGCCCAATGGGGAGAGCAGTGCTGGGCTCCTTGTCCTCAACCAGGAAACATCTCAATACCGAGGTGGACTCCCCCCCAACACATCCATGATACACAGGCCCCCTTATTCTTCTTGGGAAGGAGAAGGCAAGAGGTGAGCCAGTCCTTGCCTGGGCTGCGGGGTGAGCTTGGGGGTGGGATGCACAGCTTCCAGGTCTAAGATGAAGCAGAGAGGCTGACCGTGGGAAGCCTAGCTTGTCAAGGGAACTGGAGGGGCATCTGGGCCTCCCCTCCTTCCTGGAGCTTGGCCCGACAGGTTCTGACTGCCCTGGAGGGACAGCACAGCTGGGCATTGGCCTGCCAACCTTCGGAGTGGCTCGGGAAGCAGCTCACTTTCCAGCCGGACAGTCGGAAAACGTCTCCCTGTGGATGGGGCTGCATGGCAGATGTTGTGTTTCCTGAAGGCCAAAAAATGGTGCTTATCAGAAACAACAGCCAGGCCGATGTCTTGGGATCAGCCTTTCCAGCCATGATACAGGTGCTCAAATCCAGTGCCTGAGTCACGTGACCTGGGAGATCCAATCCCATCTTCCTGCTTTGTCTCACCATCATTTCTTCAGGTGCGAAGAATTATTGGCAGCCCCTTTCCTGTATCATTTCCTTCCTTCCTTCCCTCCTTCCTTCCTTCCTTCCTTCCTTCCTTCCTTCCTTCCTTCCTTCCTTCCTTCCTTCTCCAAACAACCCTTCAGCTGCTGCTGGGCCTTCAGGGTGGTATCTCCTCCAGCCTCTGCAGGTGACTTCCAGCTCCACCTCAGATGGCATCTTTCCCTTCCAGCTACTGCAACTTTTCAGGTATTTTCAGTACTTGTTTTTGATGAACCATCCCAGAATTCAAGAGTTGCCGTGGCCGGGCAGCTGACATCTAAAGCCGGGCTGCATCTGGGGAATTGGGAGCACATCTACCAACCAGTCTTCCTTGTCTTTCTCTTTGCGGAACTTTTATTTAAGTTCAGAATGAGGAAGGGAAATATAGGCTGCTGCCTCTTACTTTTCCTCTCCGCTGTTAATTTAAATAAAGAAGTGTCCTTGCAAAATGTCTATGGAGGTTCTCAGCCATCCAGGTTCTTGGTTATCCTGAAGGAGAGGTAAGTGGACCTTTAAAAGGAAGCTTCAAAGAAAAAACAACAACAGAAAGCCCAGTTGCCTCTGGAAAAATCACCCTACACACATACACACACACACACACAGGCAAGAAGAATGTGTCATTTCAAAGTAATGGATTTAAATTCACTGTTACAAAAACCCATAGCAGAACTATACACAAGTATTGATAACTCTTAATTGTTGAACACGGCTTCTTCAGCGGCACCTGTCCAAGGTCGTACGCTTCATTTCCAAACGCCCGGTTAGAATTACAGTCCCATCTCTGCTTACCTAGGAGAAGGTCCCAGGGAATACAATGGGGCCTACTTCTGAGTAAGCGTGTACAGAATGCGTGTGTGTGTGGGGGGGGGTACATGGGCCAGCTTGGGAAATTGGGATCTAGGTGGAAGGGTACATGGGGGGGGGAGGGGGTGGTGGTTATGATCCAGGAGAAGGAGCAAGTGGTGGCCGTGGGTTGAGGTGCCTCCTCAAATTTGGTAGTTCTTGAGTGGCACCCTAAGTTGGCGCTACTTTGCTAACCATCTTGGGCATCTGCAACGTGAACTGTGCGGAATCAGGTTTGCTGATTCCCAGAAGCAGCGTCAGAGTGACAGCCTGGCCTCGCTCGCTCAGAGCTGCCCGGGCCTCCGTGGCTGCCCCTCCTGCCTACGGCCTGCCCTGGGCTCTGACCATGCGGCACGGAGGGGAGCAAGTTAAGGGCGCCTCTGCTTCTTGGCAGAGCAGGTCGTCTTTGGGCAAAGCGGGGTTGTCTTAACCTGGATTGAGATTCTTCACCCACGGTTGCAAAAACGGATTTGAGGTTTCAGTTTCAGGGTATTTGTATAGGGTTGCCTGAGTCAAACTCATAACCCTCCTAGAAGACAGGCCAGGGTTAGCGGGCAGAGAGTTGCTGGAGTCGTGGTAAGGCTGGTACTTTGGTCCTCCTGAGTGGGGGAATGAAAAACATGGTGAGGGTCAATCGGGGTCAGAGATGGAAGCTCTGGAACCAGCATCACTCTCAGCTGGAGAGCCAGGAGGCCAGGCTTCCTTCCCAGAAGGCAGTGGCACATGCTGGACTGCAGGACAATTGGTTGTGGGGTGGGGGGTTGTTCTGAGGCCAGGGGAGGAAAGAATCGGGACCCTCTCTGTCTAAAAGGCGAGCAGATCTTGGCAGGTGCCTGTTTGCCAGAGGAGGTTTGTTACAAATCTCAAAGCACGTAGCCATAAACCACGAGAGAAGAGAGGGACGACCCCAAGGCTCCCCCTGATCCCAGCCCTGGAGAGGAGCCGAGGGGGTCAGCGCCGGCGTCCATCCGGGGCAGAGGCTGGGAAGCATTTCTGCAGAGGAAGAGCAGAGCTGGAGATTTGGATCGACAGCCAGCAAAGAGTCGCGGAGAAGTTGGGGGCTTCCCGTCCTACCGGAAATGTCGCTTTACCAGGTGGGAGGCATGGAAGCAGTTGACTAAAACTCTGCTCCACAAATGAGCTAAGAAGTAGTCAAAACAGAGAGAGAGAGATAGAGAGAGAGACGGGGAGATTCCCCCCCCCCCACATCAGAGAAAACCTTAGGTGTCCTGAGGAAACACTGGAACCTTCATGGTAGCAGCCCCAAAAAAGGCCACGGGGCTCCCTGGGTGGGAGGTGGTGGACCGACAGGCCTTTTTTTTTTTTTACAGAAGGCTATATATATATAAACAAAGGGCATCATGAGCCGTGGGGCTAGGCCTCTTCACGGCCCCCTGATGCAGTCTGGGAACAGTTGTGTGAAGTAAGGTGGGCTTAAACGGTTTTGTGCATGCATGGAATGACGGCGAGTCTCTTCCCCTCGGCAACAGACCCGGTCGGCTTCGCTGAATGGGCCGTCCATCCTCTCCCGGCCGGGGGTGTCTCTCAGAACTACCTTCTCCGCGTGTCCAGGAGGAGAAGTACATGGAGGCCACCCTCTAGGGGGAAAAAAAACGGAGGTGCTCCCAGGCCTCCTGGAGTCCAGTAGTTCATCCCAAGGCCGCAAGGGAGGTTGGTCACCCTTGGAGAGAGCAGGGGGTCTATCGGGGGCCGGAGGGAAGGAAGCAATGCAGGCGCCGTGGGTGGATGTCAAAGGCTTCCCTTTGGTGTCTCCAGGAGGGCCCTCGGAGTCTCCATCGGTCCGTCCTGAGATCTCACACCACGGTGCTGACCGAGGGGTCAGAGAGATTGAGTTGCCCAGTGATGTCGGTGGGTTGGTACTGCTGCAAGAGACAAACAGACAGACAGACGGGCCAGATGTTAGGCGGGGGCGGGGTTGGCTGCAAGCAGCTGATGCAACTGAGACGCAGGTCCCCGGCGGGAGATTGCTGAGGGATGATGCACGGGCCGTCCCTGCCCCTCGCTTTGGGCCGCAGCCTGCGCGTGCCAAGCGCCAGCGGAAGCTCCCCTGCACAGGATGCCGCCCACGAGGGAAGCCTGGCCAGGGCGGGGCCCAAAGCCTTTCCCCACAGCCACCGGGAGCTGGTGGCGCTTTCCTCTCCCTCTTAGTTTTAGCACCCCGGGACGTGCCTTCAGCGGCCAGGGAGTAAAGAACGAGGCAGCTCAGGGAGCTTGATTTATGGTCCGTTGGGAAGATAATTGCTAAGGGGGCGGGTGTAGAGACCCAGGCCTCCGAAAGGATCTCTGCTGCCCCTGCTGGAGGAGGGAGGGCGGGTGCCTAGGAAATGCCCCTCGGAGGGAAACCTTTCGGGAAACACTAGCAGATCCCCACAATTTATTAGAGTCCAAAGCTACTTGCTTTGCCAATAGTGACAAAAACAAATTTCAAATTGCCCCGGAGATTTTAAAAAGGGCTGTTGTAGCCACCCTTTAAAATAAAATGATTGGCACACACAAGCGGAATGAGGAGGGAATGCCCGGGGCCTCCTTTGCCACTCCCTTGCCTAGCGGCAGAGCTCCAATCGTTGGTGCTCCCCGAGCTGGACGGCTACTCTTCCCTCCGGGCCCTGCTTGCGCCTCCCCTGCCTGCCTTCCTGCCTGCCAGGACAGCAGAGACGTGCATCATCTCTCAGGGATCCCTGCCCGGGACAGGGTGGTAGGGTGGGTGGACGTGTTACATGACAGCCTCTGCGGCCCTCCGGTTCAACCGCCTGGAGAGCAACTAATCCCCTCCTGGCACCTTCCAGCCATGACAGCCCTGGCGTTCCACCAACTTCCAGCCAGTCAGCGTCTCTTCTCTGTAGGCAGGAGACGTTTCGGAGGATGCTCGTGCCGCCCCGCCTTCCCCTTCTGCCACCCCACCCTTCCCATCCTCCTGGCGCCCTCCTCCCGGGGTCTGGGGCCTGCCCTTCACCCCTGTCTGGGCCCTCACGCTCCTTGCCCGTTACAGAAGACCCCCGCAATACAGGACGTGGGTACAGGACAAAAGTCAATCAACATTCAGGACAAGAGCCCACCCTGTGCTGAGCAGCTCCTGAAGCCGGGAGTCTCTACAGGGCTATCTGCACTGCAGCTCACGGATGCTGGGCGTGGTGACATCGCGGGGCTGTCTGTAGGGAGCAGGCGCATGAATGGCACATGGTCTTATTACAGAGGCATTGGCTGCAGTTCCAGAGTTAAAGGCAAAACCCAGCTGTGCAAAGAGCATCGACCCTCACCACGGTGCCCCACAGAATGCCGCCTTGCCCGCCCAACAACCTGCAGCGTTTGCCCTTCGAGGAGCCTGAGCAACCCGTACGGAAGGTCCCTTCCCCTCATCGCGTGTCAGCCTGCCTGTCTTCTCCACCCAAGACTAAGAGGGAGGGAGGATTTTTTTCCCCCTGCCTGACCTTCCATCGTCCCCAAATGCAGCCACATATCCGCCCACTCGGCTAGCTGCTGTGCCTGGTGCTTGAGGCAGAGGTTGCTTCCTGCCTGATGCTGATTTTGGCCCTAACAAAACAGGCTCAACGGATTAAATCCATCCTGGCCTCCAGTCCCTATCATGGCTGGAGAGAAAGAAACCTTGGGGGATTCGCGAGCACCAAAGAAATCCTGGTGGAGTCGATGCCCTCAGCATAATAGCCACTGGGAGGGCCCTGCCATCAGACATAGAGGGGGCCACGGGGTCTCACGGCTGGGAAAGCTCTGAGTGAATTTTGTGGCATTTCCCCCCCCCCCAGCCCAGAACGGCCTCGTGGATCGGTGTGATCCGCTGACCCTGCGCTCTAGTAGGATGGGAAAGGGAGCCACTATTTGTGAAGGTTGGACCGGCGTAACCAACGACTATCGGCTCTTCCCTCTCCTTGCGAGCGTCTCCAGGCCGTTCCCTCCAGGGAGCCTGGAAATGGAAAGGCCCTTTCATCCCATGGGACAAAATCCGGCTCTCCAAAGGTGGATCCTCGGGTGGACTCCAGAAGGGAAGAACCGTTCCTTCCACAGAGGCTTCCTGCTTCCGGCCCACCGATTGCTGGGGGCAGTCTCACCCGGAGGCTGGCGCTGGACGCGACTCGTCCTACCTTAAAAACATTTTAAACTGGGGATAGACTGGAATGGAACAGGAGGCTCAGCTGCAAAGGGTAAGGTTTCCCCGCTTTTATTTCTTTCCTAGGAGCTTAAGAGGCCTGGCCAGCTTTGGCAAGGCGAGGCCCCGATAAGGCGGTGCCCTGAAAATGCCAGGCTGCCTTCCTGGAAAGGCCCTTGGCAAACAAGGCTACCCCAAGGGGCCTGCTGGCACAGCACAGTCCTGGGGAGTGGAGTTGGGGGCCTATTTGCAAGAGGCCACTGGGGGGGGGGTCTGCCAGGAAGCCTAGATGGAGAGTGCAAGGGCCAGAGGGCACCCACTGCCAGCCAAGCGCCCTTCAAAAGAGGGGCCAGGAGTGGCCCCCCCAGAGACACCCGGGGGAGGGGCTGTGCCCTCCCCATTTTACAGGGGTGCTCTCTGTTCCGGGCCAGATGCCCTCCCCTGCAGTCGTAATCTGGGCCCCCAGAGGGTGCTTGGAGCTTCCCCTCAGCCCATACAGCTGCTGCTGCTGGGCCTTCCCCATGGCCAGCCTTGGGGGCAGTGAGGGAGGGAAGCCGTGCCTGACCCCCTCTGAGGCAGGGTCAAATGGGGGGGGGACCCTTCCCTCAGAGAGAAGGGCGCTGAGCCTTCCTCCAGAGAGACCTGGGTAGAGAAAGGGCTCCCCTGGGCCACATCATGCCCCCCCTGGGGGAGGAAAGGGGGGTCCCTGCCTTTGGTCCCCTTGTGGGGGCTGTTTGATGGATGTTCAGGGAGAGCCACCACCTTAAAGATGGGGGAGGGGGGCTTTGGTTGGGCTTTTCTTCCCCACTTCAGTCCGTGTCATGAAGGCCTGTGAGGGGAAGGGGGGGAAGCAGGAACAGGGCGTGGCTGTGGGCCACCTCAGTGGGAGGAAGGAGGCTTCAGGAGGGTCTTCCCAATGCCCAAAGCCCCCAGGCCTGCCTGAGGGGAAGGCCACCCCTTGAAGCCTGGCCTGGCCTTCTTGAGGGTGCCAGAAGGGGGCGCTCTCAGGGAAGGCTCAGAGGTGGGGAGAGAAACCCTGGGCGCCTTCTTCCCCTTTCTTTCCCAGGTGGGCTCTAGGGCCGCCTGTAAAGGGTCCGTGGGGGCCTTGTGGACCAGCACAGGCTCCCCCCTAGTTGCCCAATCCCCAAAGAGCTGCGGGGACTGTGAGTGGGGCAGCTCAGCTGACAGGGAGGCTGCTTTTTTAAAAATAATATTTTTTGGGGTTCTCTATATACAATTAGAGGTATACATTCACATAGTTATTATTCTTTTTTTTTACATTCATGGTTCTTATACATTTGTCATTCCATTTATAGAATTGTAATATTCCATTTGGGTTGCTTTGTCTACCATCCCTTGCCTGTTTTGACACCTCCTCCTTCTCCCTTCCTTTTCTCCCTCCCTCCCTTCTCTACTTCCTTCCTCCTTTCCCTTCCTTCTTCCCTTACCTTTCCCCTCCTCCTCCTCTCTTCCTCTTCCCCTTCCTACCCTCTCTCCTTCTCCCTTCCTCTCCTCCTCTTTATCTTCCTTCCCTTCTCTTCCTCTCCTCTCTTCCTTTCTCTCCCTCCCTCCCTTCTCTACTTTCTTCTTTCCTCGTCTCCTTTCCCTTCCTTCTCCCCTTACCTCTCCCCTACTTCTCTCTACCCCTTCCCCTTCCTACCCTCTCTCCTTCTCTTCTCCCTTCCATCTTCCTCTCCTCACCTCTCTCTTCCTTCCCTCCCTTTCCTCTCATTTCCTCTCTTCCTTTCT